GACTACCCAATGCGCACAGAGAAAGGGGTGGAGCTCTCCGATTAAAACAAGCTTGGAAGGAGGAGTGGCATCCACTTCCATAATAGTTTGTCTCCGGAAACCCTATGAACCTGGAGAGAGGATGAAAGGCACCCAAGCGTAGAGGGCTCTCCTTCATAGGGTCGCTATGAGTCGCCTGCGACTTGACGGAACTTAACAACAACATGTTGTTGTTGTTATTATGTGCCATCGAGTTGCCTGCGATCCATAGCCACCCTATGTACAGCAGCTCTGAACCCTGCCCTGTCCTGAGCCAGTCTCGCTAATTTCGACACACCAGCTCCCACTGCCCTAGTTACTGTATCAATCCATCTCATACAGGGTATTTCTCTCCTGCTCTGTCCCTCCACCCTTCCAAGCATGATGTCTTTCTCCAAGGACTGGTCTCTCCTGGACACATGCTCAAAATATGTGAGACAGAGCTTCAATATCCTAGCCTCCAAGGAGAAACTTGGTTTCAGTCTCTCCAAGGCAGATGTATATGTTTTCCTGGCAGTCCATGGTATACTCAAGACTCTTCTCCAGAACCACAATTCGAAGGCATTGATTCGTCTTCTGTCATCCTGAGTCACTGCCCAGCTCTCTGAACCCCAGTAAGCAACTGCAAAGACCATGGACTGGATTAGGTGCATCTAAGTTTCTAAACTGACATCATTGCTTTTCAGGACTCTGGAGAAGTTCCTGACAGTATATTTTCCAAAAGCAATTAGTCTTTTAATTTCCTGACTGCTGGTACTAAGAGTGTTGATTGTGGAGCCAACCAAGCTGTAATTATTAAAAGCTTTAATCTCTTCTCCACCTATCATGGTACTGCCAAGTAGCCCAGTAGTGAGAACCTTTGTCTTCTTGATGTTAAGATTTAATCCATATTGAAGACTACAGTCCTTAACCATCTGTAGCAAGCGCTTCAGGTCTTCTTCAGTTTCAGCAAGCAAGGTTGTGTCATCTGCATAAAGTAGGTTGTTCATGAGTCTTCCTCCAATCCTGATGGCACATGTCTCCTCATAAAGCCCTGCTTCTCGAATGATCTGTTCTGTGTATAGATTGAAAAGGTATGGAGAGAGGATGCATTCCAGATACACCTAAATTCTCTTTGTTGTTGCCAGTGATTTTGAGCATTTCTGCCTGTGTCTGTTGGCTACCCGAATATTTTCCTCTGTGAAATTCTTCCCATGTCTTTTGCCCATTTTATAATTGTGTTATCAGTCTTTTTCTTGTGGAGGCCTGTAGGATTCTCTAAACTTTTGGTATGAGATCCTTTTCTGAAAAGGATCTGGTTTTTTCCCAATCAAATGTTTTTTTTCCCAATAAGTAGGTTTTATTTTCATTTTGCTAGAAAAAGGTTTTGATTCTCACAGGGATTTAACCTTTAAAAGGTCTCATTCATTAATTTTATCCTTTTCAAATTGTGCATTTCTGGCTGTATAGGCAGTCTCTTTAAACCATCGACTAAGCCATCTAAGCTTGATCACAGTTTGTCTCTGATGAACTTTATGGTTTTGGGCTTTAGTTCCAGATCTCTGATTCACCCTGAGTTGATTTTTGTGTATGGTTTGAGATGTGGATCCTGTTTCAGCTTTCTGCAGGTAGCAGTCCAGTTTTGCCAGCACCATTTGTTGACGAGGTTGTCATTTCCCCATTTGATAGGTTTTATTTCCTTGTTGAATATCAGTTGACCATAGATAGTTGGGTTCCTTTCTGGGTTCTCAATTTTTGTTTTTACCCCTTATTGTTAGGCGCCTCGAGCTGACACTCTAGTGAAATTTTCAGTCTCTTCTGTCATCCATTTTGGTTTTCTTTTCTTTCTCCTCTGTCTTTGTAATGCCTCTCTTCATGGATGATATCCTTGATATCATCCTATAACTCATCTGGTCTTTGGTTACTTGTGTTCAATGCTTCAAACTATTCTTAAGATGATTTTTAATCCAGGTGGGTTAGACTCAAGATATATTTTGGTTCTCATGGACTTGTTTTAATTTTCTGCAGCCTCAATTTGAATTTGCAGATGAGTAATTGGTGGTCTTTTCCACACTCAGCACCTGGCCTAGTTTTGACTGCTGATACTGAGCTTCTCCAAAAATTCCTTCCACAGATGTCATCGATCTGATTCCTGTGCAGTAAATCATGGGAGATCTATGTGACAAATCACTGTTTGTGTTTTTTAAAAAGGTAATTGAGACAAGTAAGTCATCACTGAAGGTACAAAACTTGATCTTTCTGTTTTCAGTGCTATTTCTGTCATCAAGTCCATACTTTTCAACTATCATTATTTCATTACCATTCTTCATTATTTCCAAGTTTTACATTCCAGTCACCAGTTATCATTAACACATCGTAATTGCATGTTTGGTCAATTTCTGACCACAAATTTTTATAAGAATCTTCAATTTTCTGCTCTTTGACTTTAGAAGTTGGTGTGTATATTTGAATAACAGTCATACTAAAAGGCCTTCCTTGTATGCGTTTAGATAATAACCTATCACTCACAATATTGCACTTCAGGATAGAAGTTGAAATTGTCTTTTTTACTATGAATGCAACACCATTCTCCTGTTGTTCATTCCCAGCATAGTACACCATATGGTCGTCAGTTTCAAAATGGTTAAAATGCAGTTCACCTCATCTGACCAATGCAGAGAATGTTGATGTTCATGCATTCCATTTCATTTCACTGAAAACTGGGCTGAGGAAGCACCTGGAGACCAGTTAGAGCTAGAGAACCCTTCCTCTTTCCTAAGAACGTGCAGTTTCAGGCCCTAACACCTTCACACACACCAGTCCCTAAATCAGGCATGACAAAATAGTTTCTGGACAACATATTCTATGGCCAAGCCTGGCTTACTGGGAGAGAAGTGTTAGATAAGCAATGTCCACTATGATATTTGCTATCTCCAACATTAGCCAAGTCCACACATGGGAAGAGACAGCATAGGACAGCTCCAGAGTTATCGGCACAAATCACAGATGTGGCAAAAAAGTCTTACTAGCTGAGACTATGGGCAAGTTAACCCCTCCTGATCATCAGTTTCCTCATCTGTTAAACGGGCATAATTCTACATTCCTCACAGAACTAATATGGGTGTTGTTGTTAAGTACATCAAGGCAGGACCAACCCATAGCTGACCTTCCAGCGAGTTTTCAGAGGCAGTAAATCCCACAGGAGGAGACTGTCTATCTTTCTCGTGTGAAGCAGGTGGTGGATTTGAACTGTGTGCCTTTGCGTTGACAATGCAACTCCTTCCCATTAAGTCACCAGTGCTCCTTTCTAATATGAGTAATAGAAGTTGGTAAAAAGTTTCAGTGGAGCTTCCAGACTAAGGCAGAAAAGTCTGGTAATCTACTTCCAAAGGTTACTCAATACAAGAGCTCATGGACAAATTTGTGATCACTCATGGGGTGGCACAGGACTAGTCAGTATGAACTTGTCTGTTGTACTGACTGCTAATTGCTTCGGGTCACCGTGAGTCAGGGCCAATTCAACAACAACAATTCCATAGGTGCAGCTAACAGTAACAAGATGCCTTAACTAAGTACTTTGCCCCTGTTTCTCACCACAGCCGAGTCACAAGGCTGAGTAGTGCTAAAAGAAGAATCAAAACTCGGGTTTTCAGAAGCTCAAACACACATTATCTCCCCACAGCCCTCAGCTGGCCCATGGTCACAAGTTCAGGGCTCTGAACCACATGAGCACAGAAAAATAATGACAGCAGATAAGAACTGAAAGGGCCACTCGCCATGTGATCTTGGGTGAATCTGTCTTCTTGAACCACTGAGAGAGAGGATGACTGGATGTCATCTCAAGGCTTCTCCAGATCTAAGGCCCTCTGGGCTGGATGGTTTAGCTAAGACAAGTAGGCAGACAGGTGCAGAGGGCAAGCTCAGAGTCTCTAAGCAGACTCCACCTCACAGTGGCCTTAACTGAAGCCAGAGAAGCATTCTCAACCTACACTCAGCAACAAGGTGCCACAGAGGACAAGAGAGCCTTGCTCCTTCACAAGACAAGCGCTTCTGTGCCTGGGGCAGGGTGAGGCACCAACCACTGACTTATACCTCGTTGGTTTACTATTTTAGAACTTTTCCATCCATTAAAGCATTTTCATTTACCCATTATCACACGTGCTATAAAGATGAAGAGATAAAGGATCAGGATCAGAAACCAGGTCATACTTTCTCCATCTCATAGGATCTGATGTGGACCTGCCTTTACAGGCAGAGTTGGGAGTGTCATGCCCAGATCTGAGCCAAGAGGAAAGGGGCTTCTCTCTGTTTCAGAATGACATATAGTATCAGGTGAACGAGAAGAGGGCAGCTTGGAGAGTGGAGACTACCTTCATCAGCTCACAGGGCTAGATATTTTGTCACCAATTAGGCAAGCCTGGGCCTGCTGGCCTGGATGGCCTCTCAAACCCAGCCCACCCCACAATCTGGCCACAAGGCAGGGCAGGGAAGTTACCAGGCCTTATCAGGGAGATGAGGGCAGGGGTCTGGGGGTTAGGCCAGTTTTCAGTTCTGTGAAAGTTCACTTGAAAACTCAAACTCATTGCAATCAAGTAGGAGCCAACTCAAAAATCTAACCCTCCGAAGCTGTAAATCGCACAGGAGATACTGCCCATCTCTTTCTTGAGGGGCAGATGGTCCATTCGAGCTATCAGAGACGTGCCACTTTGGAGTTAACAGCACAAATCTCTATGGGCCCTAGGCCATGAGGAAGATACTGAAGTGAGTGACATAGATTCCTCCAAAAAAGTCTGGAGAAAAAGCCTTAGCGAACACCTTCACTGTTGAGTAGGGGAACAGAAACCCAACCCACTCAGAATACCATCGCTCGGGACTCTGGTAGGCTCAGCTGCAAAGCAGGAATTCTAGAGCTCGGAGGGGTCACCCCCACATCCCACCCCACGCCTCACATCCCCAGCTGGACGGGACACTGGAAACAGGTTCCTAAAGGAAGGGGCGCTCACCCGATGGTGGTGGTGGTGGTGGTGGCGGTGGTGATAGTGAAACGCTTGTACAGGGGTTCCAGGACCGATGAGAAGCAAGGCTAGAGCGATGTGGAGCGAAGCCTGCATCAGGAGGGCCATAGTCAAGCCTAGTCGGGATTAACTAAAAAGTCTGCAGCTGTGGCGGCGGTGGCGCCTTTAAGTGCCTGCCTTCTTGGGTTATGCAAAGCTATGCATTGCTATGCAAAGCGGAACCCAGCCGCTCGCAGGGGCGCCCCGCCCGCGCCGGCCGAGATTTCCGGGCTGGTGGAGAACCGATTTCGCCCGCCTCCTCCTCCCTGCACGTCCTCGCCGGCCCCTCCCACGTGCTGTATCAAGCCCCTCCTTATGGGGGCGTGGACAATGGTGGGTGGAGAACAGCCAACCAGCGGGCAGGAGGGAGAAGGCGGAGCTGGTGGTTTGGGGCTCTCCTCTTGTGAGACTGTCAAGAGTTTTATTTAGGAAATCTAAAATCCAATGTTTAATCCATTTCCTTCGAATACACTTCCTTCTCCGCCTCTGTGTTGCAAATCACTGTGTTTTTCCACCAGCAAATGTATTCTGTCCTATAAGGTCAAGTCAACTAGGCAATGCTTTTTTTTTAGTAGTAATAATAAAGGTAAATAACATTTGTTGTTTTTGTTGTTGTTGTTATGTGCCGTCGTGTCGCTTGCGGCTCATAGAGACTCCACGTACTTGCTCTATCCTGTGCCGACTCTACTGTCTCTGACACACCCTCACTAACCCAGTCACCGAATCAATCAATCCATCTCATTGATGGTCTTCCTCTCTTTTTCTGTCCCTCCACCCTTCCAAGGCATGATGTCCCTCTCCAAGGACTGGTCCCTCCTTGCAACATGCCCACAGTATGTCAGACGAAATCTCAGAATACTTGCCTGCAAGGAGCAGCCTGGCTTCACCCTCTCCAGGATGAAGATGTTTTGTTCTCATGGCCGTCCATAGTACATTCAACACTCTTCTCCAGTGCCACCGCTCAAAAGCATCAATTCCCTTTCTATGATCCCTAGTAATTTTCCAGCTCTTTGACACATAACGAGCAATTGCAAGGACTATGGCCTGGACTAGGCGCACCTTAGTCTCCAGACTGACATTGTTGCTCTTCAGTACTCTGGAGAGGTTCTTGACAGTAGACTTTCCCAGTGCAATTCATCTTTTAACATCCTGGCTGCTGATACCAAAAGTGTTAATTGTAAAGCCAAGCTCTGGTAACCCAGTGGCAAAAACTGCTGCAATCCCAAAGGCACACAGTTCAAGGACACCAACTGTTCCATGGGAGAAAGATGGGCAATCTTCTCCCATGTGTTTAACTGTCTATGAAAAAAAATCTGCTGGAGGGTGAGCTATGGTCAGTTCCAACTCTACACATACACATACACACACACACACACACACACACACACACA